GCATGCCAAATATATGTTAGAAGTACATGCCAAATATAAACATATATATATATATATATATATATATATATATATATATATACACATTTACCTTGATTTTGTTTGTATATGTTCTGCAAAGTAGTGCTCTGAAATAAGCAATCTCGTCATTGATATATGATTCAACAATTGATCCTGCAGCATATCTTTTGTTCTTTGCTTTTCCTTTCAACTTTTTGAAAAATCTCTCAAAAGGATACATCCATCTATATTGGACCGGGCCGCCTAATTCAGCTTCGTAAGAGAGATGTATAGGCAGGTGCTCCATCACATCGAAAAATGATGGTGGAAAGATCTTTTCCAAGTTGCATAAGATTAAAATAATATTCTGTTTTAGAATTTGAACACGACTTTTCTGTAAAGTCCTCGAACATAAGTCCTAGAAAAATGCTCCAATCCTTGAAATATATATTCAAATTACATCATCATTTAAAATTGTTAGATAAAATACTAGAATAATATATTGTTAAGTGTCGCAAATAATAAGTAATTAGTAGTACCTGAAAACGCAAGGTGTACGTTCCGGTCAAGGAGTTCTGCAAAGATAAATGGAAGTAGTCGCTCCATAAAAACATGGCAATCATGACTCTTCATGCCTGAAAACTTACCATTCTCCATATCTACACAAGTAGCCAAATATGAGGAATAACCATCTGGGAATTTAACCGAATGTTTCACACATTCCAATAAACTCGCTTTGGCTTGATCTGTCAATATATATGCTGGGAATGGAGCTTTACCCTTACTATCAATATGTAAGGCTGGCCGAGAACAAAATTTTTCAATATCCAATCTTGACATGATGTTGTCTTTTGATTTACCTTTCACACTCATAAGAGTATTCATGATGTTGTCCAGAAAATTCTTCTCTGTATGCATCACATCAATATTGTGTCGCAGATTGAGATCTTTCCAGTAAGGCAGCTCCCATAATATGCTTTCCTTGTGCCAGTTATGTTCCTTCCCATAGCCTGGCATCTTTTTTTCATGACCGTTGCCACCAACGTCCTTGGTTTTTGGTGGATTTACGCCATCCAACCGCTCATAATAAACTTGCTCACCGGTCAAAGATTCAGGTGGATACTCTTTAGAAGCGTCTCTTCCTTTAAGGAAGTCTTTTTTATTTTTCCGTAATGGATGACCATGAGGAAGAAATCTTCGGTGACAATCAAACCAACATGTCTTCCTTCCATTAGGTAGATAAAATGACTTTGTACTTTCCATGCAAATTGGACAAGACAGTTTACCGTGTGTGGTCCATCCTGATAACATGCTATACGCCGGAAAATCGCTTATCGTCCACATCAGCACTGCTTTTAGATTAAAATTTTGATTCAATGACACATCAAATGCATCAACTCCAGTAGACCACAACTCTTTTAGCTCCTCAATAAGAGGTTGGAGGAAGACATCGAGACTACCTCGCGGGTGATTTGGCCCAGAGTTCAGAATTGTGAGAAACAAGTACTCTGTATTCATGCACATACCTGGGGGTAAATTATATGGAGTCAGGATCACAGGCCACAACGAATGATTACGAGACATGCCAAATGGATTGAACCCATCTGTACATAAGCCAAGATATACATTTCGGGGTTCTTCCGCAAACTCGGGATTTTGCTCTTGGAAATATCTCCACTCTGCCGCATCTGAAGGATGATTCATTTCTCCTTCCTTTGATTGGTGCTCGGAATGCCATCGCATTGCCGCTGCTGTCTTGTGGCTCTGATACATTCTCTTCAATCGGTCACCAATAGGTAGATACCACATTCGACTATATGGTACTTTGGTTCTACGACGATCATCCTTAGGCTTCCATCTTTGTGCACCACAAAACCGACATTGATCTTCTTTTTCAGTTTCTTTCCAGAAAAGCATACAATTGTTCATACAAACATCAATTGTATGATATGGAAGACCTAAATTGCGCATCAATTTTTCGGTCTGGTAATGCGAACCGGTTGCCTGGTTTCCTTCTGGTAAAAAATCTGTCAACATTTGGCAAACCGAATCCACTAACTTTTCACTCATATTATACTCTGCCTTATTATGCATGAGTCGAGCAGCTAACGATAACTGCGATTGACCTTCACGACAACCATCGTATAATGGGTTTTGTGCACCTTCTAACAAGTCGTAAAATTTATTTGAATGGTTACGTACTGGTTCTTCGACATTCTGATAACCTGTATCCTGATCATAGTTATCATCAAACCCCACGTTATAACGAAATGCATCGTTCACCATATCCACATAAGGATCTTCTACAACATAACCCACCTCTTCATGATTCTCACTTTGATATGTCCTATCAGTGTGACTCGTTCCTATATCCATATTGAGTTCTTCCCCATGTCTATACCAAACATAATAATCTGGCATAAATCCTTGACTAAACAAATGACTACTAACTCTTCTACCCGAGACCATATGTTTTTCATTCTTGCACACACTACAAGGACAGTGAAATTTACCGCGGTTACTCTGTACTATAGGCTGGCTATTAGCAAACGTCATGAATTCCTCCACACCGGCTACGTACTCTGCTGACAAATTTCCCGTCACTTCGTCGAACCGCTTGTACATCCACTCCCGATAACCACCATTACCGCCATAATTGTAATTTCCCGTCATTACCAATAAAATATAAAGAAACTAATTTTTTGAAAAGTGTTTATTCCAAATTCGTTTTTTTTTTTCGAATTCGTTTTTTTTTCTTATGTGAAGGAAGAGAGAGGAGATGAGTGAAGAGAGTGAGTGCTGTTTTCTTTTATATAGACAATTTTTGGGCGACTAATTGGCGACTAAAAGTTGTAGTCGCCAAAAAACCGGTACACCTACCACAAACGAAAAAAACGTGTTTCTTAACTGTAAAATACGACAAATTGGCGACTAATTTACGACTCGCCGAAAGAGTCGTAATGTAGTCGCCAATTTAGCGACTAATATATACTGTCGGAAAATAGTCGCTAAATTAGCGACTAATATACGACTATAATATATATTCTACTTATTAGTCGGTAAATAGTCGCCAAATAGCGACTACATTACTGACAACCTGTTTTCGTCGCTCTTTGGCGACTAACTTACGACTACTTTTCTTTAGTCGTTAAATAGTCGTAAAATTGTGACATAATAGTCGGTAAAATTGGCGACTACATTAATAGTCAGAAGCTGTAGTCGGTAATCGACTGTTTTCTTGTAGTGACACGTGATTAATAATAAGTCAGATAAAAGCAATTTATTTGGCTATTAATGCATATGTATGAGTGAGTTAGAGATTTTGGATTTACGAGATGAGTGGCCACCTCACTTGATGGGAAATTCAAAGACAGCATTTTAAAACTCAAAACAAAATTGTTTATTTCTCAAATATATGAAGATATTGAATACAAATGAGGAGAAATAAACAATTTTGTTTTGACTCATTTTATAGGATGATCTCAATTTAGTGAACAAACTAAAATTAAATTAAGACGTAAGCATAGAGTTTTGGTAAACAAGGAATAAATGGGAGGATAATTTGTTCTTGCGGCTGTGGGAACAATATGGACGAAGTTAAAGAGCACTGATTTTGAATTAGGAAAGTTTTGGTAGAAACAAGAGTCTTTGACTTCTTCACACTTTTGGGATATTGCATCAACTTATTAATAACAACAATCTTAAAAAAGTAATAGCTCGTGTGTTGTGAACGGTCGGTATTGAGAGAATGGCAACGATGAGCAAATTGATGGCCAAAACTTTGTTTTTGTTATGTGCAAGATACAAATTTCTACTAAAAGAAACATTCCTAAGTACTCATGGCCATATTGGCAGCATGAAATAACATATCATTCAACTAGAGAAAGATATATAGCCGGATAGGTGAGCATTCATTTCAAAGGAAAATGGGTTCCTCTTGATCAAAATAATGAGTTCGTAGTGCGGAGTAATATATCTCAAATCAGAATCAAAGCCGCATCAATAAGTGGAGTTATTCAAGGTATATAACGAAGGCAGCCACAATCTTAATCTCTCTAACTCAAGTTTTGTGGACCGTATCTGTCGATTAGAGCCGTTTTCAACGGATATGCCTGTCGGTTTACGGCTGTTTTTTTTTCTTTTTTTTGGTTTACGGCTGTTTTCTTGTATTATAAACTCGTCTTGTCCCAAGACTAAAAAACATTAAACTGCAAATTCACCATGCAAAACCCGCATGTGTTTGTCAGTTTAATTTACTCGCACCCACTCTGTGTGTCTTGCCTTCAAAAACATGCAAAGCCGCGACCACAAAGCTTGCAAGATCCGCAAATTCGCGGATTAAAATCTTAAGGTCAAATCAGCTCTGTGGCGGGGCAAGTGAGATTAAGCTTGCACTATGGCCCCAATTTAAAGCAGTGAATGGATTCTAGAGAGTGGTTTTGAGATAGAAATCCATATACTCAACGGATTTTGCTAGTATGAACTATATGAATTTATCATTAGAGTCAGAGTAGCCTACAATATCTCCATAGCAGGATTTGGGTTCAAAACCTGCAGAAAAATATTGAACTCATTACCAATAGAGATATCATACTTAAAAAGGAAATATCGTAAACTGTGAGGACGTTAAGAGAACTTTCGATATGATGAGAAAGTAACTCGTTTTCGAATTTTTCCTTCAGAGAGATTCTTCATCATTCACAACCCTCAAGGACCATAGTAGAACAAATGTATAATCAAATATCAATCACCAATTCTCTCTTTAGGAACTACGAAACAATCAACAACACATTCCACTTCAATAAACGCTTGCTAGTCCAAGAGTTACACAATTCTCTTGGTTTATATAAAATCGATCTCTTTTCTTAACATTTGTTTTGTTTTTGCATGCATAATAATAGATATAAATAGATCTAAAACCAATTATTTTAATTTGAGATTTGCTAAGTTTTAGAAACACGAATAAATCCAATCCCTTAAAAAATGAGAACATGTGGTTATCAAAGTGATACGACAGAAATCCAACGAAGAGTACCGAAGCGACCACAATTACAACAGCTTCCACTAAGAGGATTATTGTAGTAACCACAGTTAGAACAGCTTACAGCTGTACAAGTAAGAGAAGCCTTCATTATCTCCACGGAAAGATTTGGGTTACTGGCGACGAACAATTTGAACTCATCAGAGCTAGCAATCGTTATTATATTCTTTTTGATATAACTAAAGGCTGCATCGTGAAGGACTTTGTCAAAAGGGATTTGGGCGAGCTCAAGGAGGTCAAGAGAATTCGACAAACTCAGAGAAGATATAAGCTTGGTTCTGCATAGGTCTCGAAGATGCATAATCTCGTATTTATCAGCCGCAAGATAGAGTGAGCGAGCATGTTGTTTCACGTTAGCAGAAAGCATTGTGCCATCACTGTATATAAACTCAACAAACGCTTCTAACTCTTCTTGTTTCATATCTGAGAGAGTGATTGTTTCCACTTGTTTTGTCGAAGTCTTAACCTCCTCTAATTCCAACATCTTCCTAAAAACCTCCGATCTTGATGCCTATTCAAATTCCAAACATACATGTGAGAAAACTTCATTGATCACACATAAAAAAAAAAAACACATAGATTCTTGAATCAGATTATGATATCAACAAAGAGAGAAGATGAAAGAAGAGACCAGAATAAGTTTGTGGGCAGAGATAGCTGAACCCTCATCACTATTCTTTGCCTTGAGCATTACGTCAACTTTCCATTTTTTTGCCAAAACCTTTGCAAGTCCACCCGAGAAATGCTCTTTGTTAGTTAGAGTTGCCATATCTATAATATTATATATTGTCGTTGAAAGATGATGGTGGTTTATATAGAGAATACAACGAAAACGGTCAAATGACTTTTGAAGACTTTGGAAATGGAGAAGACAGAAATTTAGTACAATGAAATTCCCAAGTCCAAACTCTTAATTGGCCTCCTCCTCTCTTGAAAATTGTGTAACGGAATCAAACTGGTGCCAAAGAAGAATTAATAATTTGTTTGGAATGATTGAGTTATTGACTTTATATTGATAAATACATTATCCCTAAACATATGAACAAAATGATATACTAAAACTATAGTTCACTTTGCATAAAACACTAATATGTGAAAGGTTTTTGCCAAAGAGCATCAATGCAACGATCCTTGATTTGTTCTTGAGGCTATGGGAACAATATGGACGAAGTTGAAGAGCACTGATTTTGAATTAGGAATGTTTTGGCACAAACAAGAGTCTTTGACTTCTTCATACAATTTTTGGATATTGCATCAATCTTAAAAAAAGTCATAGCTCGTGTGTTGTGAACGATCGGTATTGAGAGAATGGCAACGACGAGAATATTGATGGCCACAACTTTGTTTTTCTACTAAAAGAAACATTTCGCCATTACTTTACGCTTCCGGATCATCACTTGTTTCAGCCATATAGATTAAGGCATCTCTTATTTTTGGTGCTTCGAATCTGATTGCCTTAACGCATGAAACATGACTATCTCAACGAGTTTGAGATAAATTATTAGTTGTGAGTCCACCCACTATATCTTCAAGTATTTTCCATCGCTTAGTTGAAGATGAAAACAAACGATAAATACGTTGAATAATCCCAAAAAATGATATTGCCTTTGTAGAAGTGGTCGCTGATGTGAGTCAAATTAGACCTAAGACTACTCTCTCAAATAAGAGATCAATTGTAGTACTTTAGGGTCGAAATAAACAAAAGTCCCGTGTTCACACAATAGACTAACAGGTTTTAAATTAAGTAAACAGAAAAATAAGAATATTAAAAATAAAGAAAGCAATTAAAATCGGTTGTAAATTCAGATGAGGAAAACGCCAGGCTTAGGGAATTTCTCAGGAAATAAATAAATAGTAAATCTAGCAAATTAATTAGGAATATTTATTGAACCGTTCTAGAACTCAAAGCACTAATGTATAGCCAACCACCTCTCGAATGTATTGACTAACTAAACCTAATATCAGGAAGTTCCACCTCTCGAATGTAAATCCCTAATTTTAGACTAGCATTAATAACAGGTTTGATATCTTCACAAATATTCATAGACCACCTCTCGAATGTATCTTAGTAATTTCTGCCCACCTAAGATAGTTCCAGTAATAGATGACCTCTCGAATCTACCTATTATCTTATGATCAAATTCTAGGTGATCAATCTAGAATTAGCATTAAGAACAATTACAGATGAAGAACTCTAAAGATTAATCCTAACAGGTAATTGATCTACTAATTCATCTAAATCCCTAATGAGAATCCCTAAACCTAACAAGCAAACTACTCAGACATGATCATGGTAACAGAAAGCATGTTATGAATAGAAAGCATAAAGAGATTCAATAAAAGAGATGAGTTAAGAAAGATCTTTTCTGGACGAGCTCTCTCCAATTATTTCCCAAAGGGTTCAAGCTCCCAAGAATACAATAGAATAAGAGATTGAAAGATCTCAGAGATGTCTCTAAAACAAAACCCTAAAAATCTATTTATATGTTCTTAAAAACGTGCAGGGACTTCTTTGAAAATAGAGAAAAGTTCTGGGGAGATTCTGCAAATCTTCATAACTTCAAAGAGACGCGAAATTGAATTGCCGTCAGATATTGGTGTCGATTGACCCTTACACGGATTTTGGTCTCCGGAATTCTCTTGTAGCACAACTTCTCGGTTTTGCTCCTGAATGATCCATAATCTCTAAATTAGTCCCGAACGTACATAAACCTGAAAAAGACTAGAAAAGACTCTCGAAATAACAAAAAGACTCTAAAAACAATACATATATCATGGCTAAAAACGGTAAAATCCATGATATATTAGTTGCCATATCACATAATGCAAGGATAAGGCTATGACATCCACATGGCGTATAAAACGCAAGTGGATTGACATCAAGAAATCGTTTTTGAACTCCTTTATATTTTCCCTTCATATTTGATTCATTATACTCTTGTCCCCTAATATCATCAATATTCAAATCTAGAGCAATCAACATATCTTCAATCTCACGAAAAAGTTCCTCTTCTGATGTGCCAACAACTTTCAGAAATGTGAGAAAAAACTCTTCTACCTTGGTTGAATTAGATGAAATATCAACACATCGAATGATAAAAGTCATTTGATCATGATGACTAGCATCGGGAGTGCAATCAAGAATTACTGAAAAGTACTTTGCACATTTGATCTTCTTGATGATCATATATTTGATCTCATCAACTACCATTGCTATAACCTCATTCTGAATTCTATTGCTGATATAATGATAACTAGATTCACCATCTTCAAAACGCCTAAGATGTTCTCTCATAACGGGATCCCAATCAGCAATCATCTCAATAAAGCTTAAAAAGTTTTCATTGCCATCTTCTCCTATCTTTTCGGTACTCCCACGAAAGGCTAAATTCTGTTTAGCAGGAGTCTTTACCAATGCAAAAATTCTTAGCAACACATCTTTGCAATGACTCTTCTCTTTATTGAGCTCATCATGCACATGTTCATCTATGGTTTTCTTTTTTGGTAGCCTCCGCTCCAGTTCTGTCCACTTACTCATGCACACCACATGACCATAACTTGTTTCATGCTTCTTAAGCCTCTCCAAGATTTTTTTCCAATCTTGTACGCCTGTAGATGCGAGCTGAATAACGTTGCTTTCTTTACTAAATAACTTACAACAAAAACAGAAAACTCTGTTTAATGCTTTTGAAAACAAGCCAACGTCTATCTTGTTTCTCTCCATTGCTAAGCTCTCTTGTATAATATGAATGAGAGAAATGTCTACCACCAATCTTGTCTCTTGGAAATTGAAAGCCAACTTCATGTCTTGGCTCATGTCCTTTTTCAACCATAAAATCTCTCCAGTGCTGATAAATGTTTTTCCAATTCGCTCCTCAAATTTCATGATGCTCCTAAAATATCAGAAATTTCATGATGCTCCTCAAATATCAGAAATTTCATGATGCTCCTCAAATTCAGAAGTATTCTCATTGTTTTACTCCATCTCATTCTCATCCTCAACGACATTTACATTCTCATCCTCTTGTGCTTCCACATTCTCATTATCTGACTGATTTATGTTTTCAGCCATATTTTCATCAGACCCACCACCAACCGAAGTATTAAGATGTTCAATTCCGTGACGTAGAAGCAGTGGCTAAGGACTAATCTTGGTTTTCTTAACGTACCTTAGCATATAATTTTCTTGAGAATTTAAGAACTTCTCTTCTTTTTTTCTTCTGCTTTTTTTTATCCCATCCATGAGCGTGATTTCTTATTGGTACTGGAGGCATCTTCTGAAATTTTTAAAAGAAGATGAGTGTAACAAATCAAATTTAAAACCAACACTAATGACAAATCACCAATTCATTCGATAACCAAAAATTCTACATCAATTTTTTGTATGTACTAGTGAATAGTGATGATCGGCTTTTTTCGTAGAATAGGAAAGAAGAAAAGATGTAATAGAAGTAATCGTCGATTAGTCCTTAGCCACTGCTTCTACGCCTCTCTTTTTTTTTTATCTTTGGGATTTCACTTTTGACATTCTAAATTTCTTTGGTCTTTGTGTCTAGGTTTTCTTTTAAGTTTCTAATTCATTTTCTAAATTATTCTTTAAGCATAATCATGTGGGCATGTGGATTGTCGCCTTATTTTAATCTCGTGTACCAACTCCAACCAATATCAAAACATGAAGCGTATTTTAAATATGATCTAGATAACAAAATTTAAACCGACCACTTTAGTTTCACAAATTGGAACTGGTTCTAAAGAAATGAAACAGATTAATCAAGATCTAAGACTGATTTCAACATAAAGATACAAAAAAGAGAGAGAGAGAGAGAGAGAGAGAAAGAGAGAGAGAGAGAGAGAGAGAGAGAGAGAGAGAGAGAGAGAGAGAGAGAGATCAACGAAATGGAACCATGCCAGCCATGAATTCCATAAGCTATATAGAGAAAGAGGAGCTTTGATTAAACCATGATGAATAAAAAAAACCAGAATTTGTTCAGACATGTGATCGAATGATTAAACAATGATGAATAAAAAAAACCAGATTGGGAAATCAGAAATTAGAGTTTGTAAATTGCAAAAAGAAGAGACATGCAATTTATGAAGCCCTAAAATCAGAATATGCAAGAATTTCTATTTTTTACCCGATAAAAGTTGAGGATACCGGAATCAGAAAAGGAAGAGATTTGGAAGCTTTTTTGTGTGAATTCATGTTGTCCCATTGTTGAAGAAGAGAAGAGAAGCGAAGTGGAGATATCGAGATCGTGGAGGAGGCGAAACAGTTGTAAAACATGATTATTTTTTTCTGTCGTGTATTTTTTTTAAAATTAAAAAAGTAAAGTTTAATTGTTTTAAAAGGTGAAAGTAGAAAATTTGGGACTTAATCCACGTGTCAAATAGATAGAGTTGCAGTTAATAGTAAAATGACTTGTGAATTATTAGATAAAGATTAAACGAAAAATGCTAAACATGTAGAAATTTCCATACAAATAAAAAATAATAATAGCAATTATAAGAATTTGGGCTTTAATACACAAAGAACTCAAAACAAATTTATAAAACTAATGAAACCCATAAGAAGCCTTATTAAAAAAATGTGGCCTACTAAGTTTTAAAAATTTGGTGGCCTTAGGCAAATGCCTTTCTCCCACCACATTAAGCACGACACTAGGTCAATGATCCCACTTACGAAATACAACATCAACATGTAAACCTTATCTAAAGCCGAGGAAATCTATATTAGTATTTTTGAAGTATATTTGTTAGCGGGTGGGTTATATTGTTATCCGACAAATTTGGTACCCGACCCGATAAGAAATTTTTTTCAAAAATCTTACACTGGATAGTCCATATCTTTTTTGGATCGGGTCAAAACATACCCGAAATTATGAACCGGATATTCTATATTTAAAAATATAGATATTTAGAAGATTTGGTTAAGATTTAGAAATACAATTCTCCTATCATCTTTGTTTGAACGTTTTTTAACTGTTTTGAATCATCATATAATACATAAAGTTAAAAAAATATTCTCAATTTTTTTTTCTACATATATTGGAATTCAAAATTTTTAAAACGGATATATATTACCCAATTGATGAAAAAAGTGTGTGTTCAACGTCCTATATCGGCTAAAATATTTAGATATTGATTCAGAATCATATTATAAATAAGATCAAAATGAATCCAAATCCGAATGAACAAGAATCTCAACTTAATAAGCATCCAAATTAAAATTATATATCTTTTCATTTGTTTTTTTTAGTTTAATTGTTTAATTTTACCGGGAATGTTAAATTTTAAACTTTTAAAAAGTTTTAAATAATATAATTCATATATTTAAACTCAATAAAAAGTTTATAATATTATGAACATTTGAACATATATAAAGAGTTACAATAACACGTGACGGGTTATATTGCTATACGGGGTTATATAACGGGACGAGTTTTTAAGAAGTTTTAAATATTATAAATCATATATTTAAAATCAATAAAATTTTTATAATATTTAGAATATTTGAACATATATAAAGAGTTAAAATAGTATGGAACGGTTATATTGCAGGACGGGGTTATATTGTAGGACATGATTACATTGCATAACGGGGTTATATGACGGGACGAATTTGAATCAAAAAAATTTAAAACATCATTAATCCGCTGCTTCATTACGGGTTAAATCTTCATTTTATTACTTTTTTTAACACCACCAATATTAGACATATCGAATGATCCTAACTAAAATAAAATTATAGAAAACAAAAATTGTCTTGTGGTACACGGTTACTTAAAAACAATTGTAAACTATAAAATATAAATGTCATATAAAATGATACAATTTGCAAAATTTTATATATAATATACTATTAAATTTTAAAAATCATTAATTTTAAAAATAATTGTCCCGCGATGTACCGCAGGTTAAAATCTAGTTATTGGAATAAACCCAACCATGGAAGAAAGTAAAAAGAAATTGGAACTGACGATCAAACCGACTACTTAGGAAATTGGACTAATAAAACCTAAACACGATGCTGACCAGCCGAAAAGAGTAGCAAAACGATTCCTTTTGATTATTTGGGGTTCTCGAGATGGAGATCCTAATGAGGGATGAGTTGGAGATCGTGGTCTCTTCATCTTCGGTTGCTTATTTTTCCACCCGATAATCATCTTCCACATCTATTTAGTGGTTGCAGATTTGATCACAACGTCTGAAGTAACTCTAGGGCGATAAGCCAACATCATGTTGTAGCCACTTTGACGGAGACGGAGACATTCATACATAAAATCATCATATCCACAAATAATCATGGCATTGCGAGGATGAATAATCAAGTTACTCCACTCGCGCATTCTTTTCTTATCTCATTATCGCTCACTTGTTTGCTTCTGGTTTTTGAAAAAAAACAAATTATCAAATCAGGTTAGTGAAATCTTTCAGATAATTATTAAGAGTGTAAATCACTAACCGTCATGACAGCTGTAGAGAAACACTCCGTTGGTTGGTTGTTGTAGTGTAGTCTGGACGGTCTCAGTAAGCTTATCGTTGTTTGAGATAACGCCTATGATGTCCACATGGACTAGATAGTCTAACCTCCTCAACAATTGCGTTATACGATGACCGATAGTATTAGCATCAATTCCAACATTGGCAAACAATTCTCCACATCCCACCATATTGTGGTGGGAGCATTAGCATTCAATTGTGATACTCGTGAGTTGCTTTGTCCGGATCCCATAACCTGAAATAAATTGACAAACTAAAAGATGCTCGAAGTTTTTTTTTTTTTTTTGAACACCAAATGCTCGAAGGTTGTTTGCAAAGAAAACAAGTATGAGAAAAACGTATCACAAGAATACTTACAAAGTTTGTTTTTTTGCCCTTGGATCAATAGTGACTCATGTTGTTGCTTTTATAGAATAATGTGAGCTATTTCACTTGCTCAATAATTTTTTTGTTTCTCACTTGGCTTTCTAATAATTGATGTTTAGTTACAATCGACTAGTATGAAATAATTAAATAGAAAAAAGAAATAAAAAGAATTTCTCCTTCATTTTTAGTGGTTTTGTTGCAAGGAGTATTGTGTCGTATATTACAGATGCTTTGGTGTCTTTGCAATTATGTTTGTTTCTAATGTTATGTATGTTCTTTGCTTTCCTACTATAGTAGCTTGTTTTTAAGTCATTCTGGCTCTGTCATCATTTCATATAAACAATATTAATGGAGACTAGAGAGTAATCATCTATAAAATTTTGTTTTACAAAATAAAGAATTTTTTTTCAAAAGATTAAATATAGTGGTTGAGATTGGTCTTTCTATGTAAGAAGAACCCGTCATAATTTACTAAAGCGAAAAAAGTAGTGTAGACTAGGAACCTATAATTCCCAATTATAAAAAAGATAAAAATGATATGTGAGAGAGAGATATATTTTTTAATGGATATTGGATACAAATGCCTCTTTAATTATCAAGATATTTTTTACTGACGGTTGAATAAAGTCGAAACATCAAAATCTCCCTTACTCTCTCAACCCAAACTTTTTTAATTCACACGTAGACGGTTTAGCTTTTCAGAATTCTTCTCAAACCCGAAATAATCCGACTTCATTTTTAACTGATCTCATTTTTTTAATTATGTTTTGGTGTCAAAACTAATCAATCCATGGAAAGTATACCCTTATAAAAAAAATCTACGAAAACTACATAAAAAGAATTTAACAGCTCTATACATTTATTTTACTAATTTCATAAATTTATCAAACAAAAACAAATAATAATTAACCAAGAGTTTAAGATATTCTATAGCTTGTATGTTGTCTCCTGCCTCCATGGCTTTAATATTAACATCTCACTCTGTCTAGCTATCTCTCTCTTTTAGTCCTGAATATTATTTTCTCTTAGCTAGGGAAATTGTAGAGATATAGGTGGATATTGGATACAAATTCCTCTTTAATTATCAAGATGTTTTTTTTACAACGGTTGAATAAATTCAAAACATCAAAATCTCTCTTAACTTGACAAACGAACTTGAAAAAAGTTTTGAATGATTATGGTTAAATACTTAAAAGTTAAGTAAAAACTTATGATTATTTACTATTAATAGTGTTATTTATAACTTTATATTTAATTCGAGTATAATATAATAATCTAATATAAAAATAATTTCTTAAAAAAATTGAAAAATATAAAGAAATATCATACATACATTAAATACAAACGAGTGTATATAAAATAGTTAGATTCAGATTACCAAATGTGTGATAATGTGC